GGTGCAGACCACGAACAGAGGTAACAAATATGACCATCGTGCAGAAACCACATTGATTGTCTTACACTTAATGGCACATCTTCTAACAAGAAAGGCAAAATGTTGCGTGAAAAGTCTAGGTATTGCATCCCGTCCAATCGATTTTGGGAGAATAAATGGTCCAATGAGCATACCGTTCACCATGCCAGCCCAAACATTCACCGAAAATGTTTGTTGAAAATGTGCCCGACGGACAGCGTGCAGATTTTCTACTGACCAAACATGAGTGTTGTGAAAGTTATTCACCCCATTACGCGTGAACGTAGATTCGTCTGTCACCAATATGCACTTCAAAAAGTCCGGATTATTGTCATGTTGATGCAACAACCACTCACAAAACCGCACTCTTGCTGGAAAATCGTCAGGTTGAAGGGCTTGCACACGTTGAACGTGAAACGGATATAGCCCCTCTTCACGCAGCGTTTGCCACACTTTAGTTTTTGATACTTGCACTTCTTTAGCCACGTCTCTAGTGCTTGTTGTTTTTTGAAACGCAATCGATTATACGGAATCGTTTACTTCTACACGCGTGACCGTAACCGTCGGTTGAAGGTTGCATACTGACCTGACACACTGACCCCGACCCAGTTCTGTCGTCGGGTTGAGCTAGTTTCCTAGTACCACTCGGGGATATCGCGAGTCGCGGCTACAGGACGGTATTCAGATATTTTTGATGTTGCAGAGCCCTTTATCTCGGTTCCCTTAAGACATTGGTGTATATGGTACTAAGAAAAATTGCTTATGTTTTCAAGATCTACACGTCGTGTAAAGTAAAACCCCAACTTTGCGGATACCCTGTATAATATATATATATATATATAGGTGAAAAATTAAAGCTTCCGCCTTTTGTTGGGTACTTCGACAAAATTTAAGCAAAGAGGACTCTTTCTACTTTTTTAATTCTCTCTAGCTTTCAATGTACTTTGCCATCATCATCAGGAGAGTAGTATGTGAGGATGTTGCTAATTGTTGTTTACGTATAGGATGAGGGAAACGCCCAGTAACATGGTGAAAGCTGGATAGATGGTACAATGGTCAAAATTATATAAAATATGACAAGAACAAGTTAAAAACAGATTAAATTTTTTTTAAAAAAACATGAAAGCATTACATCGTGAAGCCACTTGACGTAATCAAGCTTTAAAGGAAACTCAGAATAGTTTTTCATAAGCAGTTGCTGAGAACTCTGAGATATCAACCAAGCCAATTGGGAAAATGTAGAAGTAGCCAAATCCATAGCCCAATTTAATTTGCTGAAAAATATATGTCACTCCTGTAAATTCAAGATTTGCCAAGGACTTGGGCAAAGGGATAGTGAACGACGCCAGTATTTTTGTAAGTGGAACTAAAGAACGTGTAAACATTATACTGTCCCTTCAAAAATAATATGGTTCGACGTAAGTATGGTTACTATTAATAGCATCTTTAATCTCCGCAACATTCATTATTGGGCTCAAGAAAAGCGCGGGCTAAAAAAGGATCCAGACATCAAGAACATTTTGATTTTAAGATGCAGTGTGGAATTCTAGGGACAATAATGTTAGGTCCATTTATTTACCTCAACTCACTAACTGCAGAACGGTACCTTCAACTGTTGCAACATGATCTAGCAGACTGCCAAGATCATTTACTTTTGACACAAGTTAGTAGCTGTTGGTTTCAAAAAGACAGCGCTCCTGCATATAACTCTAGACAAGTTCGAGAGCGATTTCCCGGAAGGTGAATTGGAACCTCCAGTGCGTTCCCTGGATTTAAACACGAGATAATGAAATTGATGCGTGGATATCATATTTTTGAGTAAAATTGACAGATGAAAATGTCAAGATGGACGCAAAATATGGTATCCACGCATCAATTTCATTACCTCAAGTTTCAATTTTTTGAATTGATCCGTTCGAAAAATCAAAGAAAAGCACTGTATGTAGATTGTAAATAACAATCCTTACAATTTAGTATATTCAACTACGTGGATGTCTATTTTGAAGATTTCCTCTGTCTGATGTCTCTAATTTGTTAGATAAATAAATAATGATTAATCCTTTATCGCTAAGCTTTAATTACCCAACTAACAATTATTACTCCTATTAGAGTTGCAAGAATGATTATACAGTATTCCTTACACAGCATCGTATACTGTAAGAACATTAGCAAAACCCTCTTAGAACAGCTATACAAGCGAAATGGGCACACCTAATAAGACACTTCAGTCATTTAAGAGGTTGTATAAGGGCTGCAGGTAACAGTTATACAACAAAAGTGTAAGCCTCTTGCAGCCGCTATAGGACATTTGCGTCAGTGCAAGATTCAGTTTTTGTCAACTATACAACTATTCTGTTACGTGATTCTTCTTTATTGCAACCAGACTATTTCTTATGTATTGTATAGACGAAGTGAAGAATATATAACTAACACATTACAGTCATCTTGTTTACTTACATATCGGCCATTGTGAATTTGATACACAGGTATATGATAAACTTCTACACTGTGATATAGGGCTATTGAATTACTTGCGCAGCAACTTTTATTGTGATTATCGTGCAAAGTAGTTACGCATTTTCTACGGTCTTCGTATTTCAATCATATTTTGATAATGATAAAAAAAAGTATGTCTAGATTTTTAAGATGGAAAACTGAACTTATCTGCGTTAAATCTTCCACAAATCCTATATTTAGACACAATTACACTAATGCTTATCACTTTATATCTGTAATTTCGCAGTGAAATATAATTATTCAATATTAAATAGAGGAATAAGTGTTTGTCCAATATGGCGGGTGGTTGTGTATGGACATGGCATCGTCCATGTTGTCTTTAGTTTATTAGAATATTTTGGTGTTGCCTGCAGGTGTTATACAACAATTTGACAAATTTCTGAAATGAAATACCGACAGAGTCGAATGATTTTCCCAGAATTTGTATCAGATCTGTATCTTCTGTTTGAACAGATGACAAAACCTTCTGAACCAATATGCATGCGTTGTTGGTCTTAAAACACTGGTTATGGCATTTTAACAAAAATTTGACAGCAGAAAGTTAGGTTATGGTGAAGTTGTATACCAACATATTTAGCATATGTACAGCCTTTAACAGTTACTAAAAAACAGTTGTATAAGTGCTTCCGTTAGGAGCAATTTGTTGGCTAAAGTAGTAAATTTGCACAGCAAAACAACAAGGCTCGGGTTTGTTCTGTAAACGTTACCATGGATGCCACAACACAACCATTTTGACTAACGTGCAAATATGCCGTATAAAATAGTTGTATAAACTTATATGCAACAGTTAAAAATTTGTCCTATAGCGTGTTGTATAACTATGCTATAAGAATATTTTAAACACCTCAATATATAACTCGTTTGTGGGGTCTCTACTAACTTACGGGATAAGTATTTGGGGAGCCGCATACACTAGTACTTTAAAAATACTACAAACCACGCAAAATTATATTGTCAGGACTATTTTTCGTATCCCATGTAGGTCAAGTTGCAGATTTGTTTACATTGAAAATGATCTTTTGAATGTTAGAGGGTTATATATTTTTGCTGCTCTAAAATTTGTTCACTCCCGAAACAATGTTCCAACCAGCCACGCTTATGAAACAAGAACTAAAATAAATATAAATTACACCTATACCAGAGTGAATAGATCTGTTTGCCAAAAATGCATAATGTTTGATGGTATTAGGTTATATAATAAATTACCCCTAGAATATAAAATCCTCTCGAAGTATAGTTTTAAAAAAAGAATTAAGAAGTTCATCTTAAATAACTTTGACATGCTTGCATCGACGGTAGCTTGACTCAACTCAGTAATTTCGTTTCTATCTAATGTTTTTTTTTTATTTATTTTTTTTTTATATACATTTGCTCATAATATACCTTATGACCATTAGCCATGCATTGAATTTGTATATTGTATGACACACACAAGCTTATAGCTTAGGTGTCTATTATTTTGTAGTAAATTCTTTTGTAGTAAATTGTAGTACTCTTGTTTCTCTGCTTAACCTTTACGCAAAATTTTTATTGTTTAAGCAAGATAGTTTGACCTTACTCGAAATATCCCTCTATTATCATATTTCAGATATTCATATTTTATGTACTCTATATTTATACTTTTGAGTGTTTTTTAGTATGCTTCTGTACTATTGTTATGAATTTTAGATTTGTTTATGCAGAAACGTAATTTAGGATTTGTGACGACAAGATCTAGACATTTACCCTTTACAAAAGTATACAGAATTTTCACAATTCATATACCGTTACTTGCTGGTTCTAGATCTGATGCTAGTATCTTTGCTCAGATTTCTGTTGCAATCTTGGTTATTCAGGGTAGCAAGAGCATTCAAGCTCATGTATTTTTGAAGCTTTTTGCATTTAAATTGTACTGAAGGTTGTTTTTAATTTGTAAGTTATATTGGTTTTTGAATTTGAATAAACTTTGAACTTTGAAAAAAAAAAAAAAATTATAATTATAACTTAAAATGTTAGCTGGGTGCCCAAAATTCAAACTCCTGAACATAAACTTTGACTAATTGTATGAGATCTGCTAATTTTATTTATGTATGCAATAAATAATTTTTCATTTCAAAAAAAAAAAAAAAGAAACCTCATTTTAGAGCAAATATGTTGCAGAAAGCAAATTTGCATTCCACACAACATTAAGCCAGCATTTTGACGTTCAGGCAACAACAATAGCTTTTATGGCTGAACGGTTCTTTTACCAAAAGCACTACTTTGCTAGTTGGGTAGAGCTTAACTATCACTCTTAGTATTGACTAACAAAGGTGTTTCAAACGTTGTCGAAACCTTCGCCAGCTGAATATTGAGGTCTTTCAATGCGTCTTTCCAAGGAATACAAGGATATTATAAAAGAAAATAGATATTATAGAGTAGTTTTCATTATTATATATTATTTTAATCAAATACAAATATCATTTATGAATATTCGATATTCATTTTGACATACTAACTAGACCCCAAAGCAAAAAGCTGCTGCTAATGATGAGAGTAATATGAGGCAAATAGCTTTTCAAGCCTTTTCTGCAGTACCAGTCGAAGCGGAGTTTATTGATGGTCTATAATTCCCTTTATTTGTTCAGCTACCGTTTCGATAAGGGTAGTAAATATTTTGTACACTTACAGAAAATAAAAAGCTACAATGTTTATAATGCTATAACGGGAGAAGGTTATTCCGCTTTTATTCAAAACCTTTCGTCTTCAGCGCCTTTGTCGCCCTCATCGCTTTCGTCGTCTTTACTTTTATTTCTATCTTTCTCTTTAGACGACCACTGCCTTGCAAGCTTTCTTATGCCAGAGGATTTATTTTTAAAATCAGGCCTCAGGACCATTTCCAATACTTTGGAGCCTCTATTCTGGCTGTCACTTCTGACAACGGCATGTGACAATTCTGTTGTTTCGGTATTCACTGTTGATATTGGAGGATGGACGCTCGCAACATTTACCTCTTCAACTTCGTCTTCCGCATCTTGATGTTTCAACTTGGGATGTCCGCCTATGAAAAATATCGAAGCGTCATTAGTTACACACAAAATCTAGTTCTTCTAATATCAATTGAAACAGCGAACATACAAGGTTTGTCCGGAAAGTAATAGGACTGAGTCGATTTAAAAAAATTTATCGAGCCAATCGTTACAATTATTTAAAACCTTTCAAAATAGGCTCCAAAATACATGGTGATGCAAAAATAAGATATTGCGTTACACTTTAGATTTGTAAATGCAAACCCCCATTTTTTTAAAATTTTTAGATTCTCCATGAAATTTTTATTCACTTTTGTATGATAAAGTGCAGACCTATCAACAATCGTTGTCAGGCTATTTGAGTATATAAAAATTCTAGAAATTGTGATATTAAGGGATTATATCGTAAAAATAATAATCAATATATTTGCCATAGTAGCAAGACTTTACTTTAAAATTAAAAACAAGTCTCCGAGTATTAAGAAAATGAAAGAACTTATTCATTGCACGTACATTAAAGATAGAGCAAAAATCAATTTTCCATGAAAACATTATTATATCAGATTTCACACCTTTTTTCAACTCCGGGCCTTAAGTTTACGCTATGTGATTTGAAAATGGTGAATGTGCAATATGATAGGACCTTCCAGCTAGGTTTGAGACATACGACTCTTTTCTCTGAGCTAGCTGATTTCGTTCATCTCTCTTCAGTGAGTCGTTCGTTGAGAGTCGTTTATTTGAACGATACGATTACCGACCGGCCTCGAAGCTGACAAGAGTATTGTGCTGCCTATAGTAACGACTCACTGAGTCAGAGAATATACATCATAGGTACTATGAAAATGAAATGAAGGGTTAGGGGCTGCCGATGTCATTTCTTCTATTATATTATATTCAAAAAACAATATTAATAAAATAAAAACAAAAACAGGACAGAAAACAGACAATATTCATCAAATATGTGACGAGTTCATAGAATTTTTTAGGAGTATAGGAGAAAACTTGGCAAATAATATCAAACAAAATGCTGATGTTCATCTGCGCGAGACAAGACTGAATAATTCATTTGTATTAATTGAAGTAGACTATCAGGATGTTTTCAATGCCTTTATGACTTAAAAAATAAAAAAAAGTCCTGGAGTTGACGAAATTAGTGCTGAGCATCTAAAGATACTGGCCAAACAAATAACAGAACCACTTGCTTATATCATTAACAAATCCTTTCAATCTGGAGTATTTCGATCAGCTTTCAAGACAGCAATGATAATACGAATGTCACTAACCATCGACCTATTTATTTCACTTATATCAAGTTTAGCTAATTACTCCTTAATAAAATTATTAGTTTCCTTAATAAAATCAAAATTTTAAATTCAAATCAATATGGTTTTATAGCGGGCAAATCTACAACAGATGGGGTATTAAGTATAGTAGATGAAATTACCCAAAATATGGATGGAAAAGTACCATCGATATGTGTATTTGTGGATTTACAAAAAGGGTTTGACACAGTTAACCACAATATACTTTTGAAAACCTTAGAAAGAATAGGTTTTCGTGGAAAGATGTATACTTTAATGGAAAATTATTTACCAAATAGACCGCAGTCAGTAAAATTATTGAACTCATTTAGTGAAGAAATGTTTGTTAAATGTGGTGTACCACAAGGTACAATTTTGGGTCCCCTGGTATTTAATACTTATTTAAACGATCTATTCAAAATTAATAGTACTGGTAAAATAGTCAGTTTTGCGGACGATACTGCTATACTCTATAAAGGTAAGGATTCGAACGACTTCAAAGATGTTATCCAAAATGACTTTTGCAAAATTATTCAGTGGTTTGATAACCGAAAATTAACAATTAACTTTACTATCCGTTTTCACTATCTGATCATCTACCAAAATACAGTGTGAGTCTTCATAAAGTGCACATATCAAAATCAGGGAAACTACACTCTATTTCATCGACGGATAAATCATCAAAAAAAAATTAAAAACAATAATTGATTTTTTATGAACATTTTAAAATTTTTAGAGTCAGCTGCTAACCCTATTTAAATAAATCGTTACAACTTTTAAACTGAATGTCCTATCATGTTGGAATAAATTTTGTAGTGATTGCAAATAGTAGGCCGTACCAGTAAAGTGAAGAATTCCAGGAAAAGTAATGACATCCATTTAGAATAAAGAAAATTTTGATGAAAATCTGTTTTTTTTTTTCATCATTTTTACAATAATTTCAAATTTTCTATAAATATCGTCCCTTGTACCCTACCTTTTTTTATTTGTAAGTTATTCTACATGTTATAAGCTTTAGTACTAGTAAGTAAAAATTGCACGTTTATTACTCAAATGTAACAGTTTCTATGAGTGTTTATAAAAAAGCCCATGCGCATCGTCTTGCTAGGCACCATTGTTTATCATGTAGATACCCTTTTTTGGTGATTCAATATAGTGTCGCGCGGGCTGAAGTACGAGTGGGGAGGCGGGCCCAGTTGAAAAACAATTGAATTTTGGGCAGTTAGGCAGCTATTTGTGTTTCTCCTGCCAACTTTATCAGTTTCGTTTGCTACATATCACGCTTTCGCTTTTTGGCCGCGATGCCACGTATAAGTGATTTCCCTCCGGCACACATTGCCGATATCCATTATTATTATGGAATGTACCGAGGGAGTGCTAGAGCTGCTTGCACAGCTTATCTAGCTGCATTTCCAAATCGACGCCCTGTTCCATCAGCCCGTAACTTCCAAGAAGTACATGGAAGACTGGCTAACACTGGACTTGGTTTGCCTCGAGATCGCCGCGAACCAGGTGTTATTATTCATGTTGCTATCGAAGAAGCCATTTTGGATGATTTGTTTGCTGACCCGACTACTAGTACGAGACGTTTGGCGTTACGTCATGGCGTATCCCAGAAATCGGTTCGGTGCATCTTGAGGAAAGCAGGGTTGCATCCATACCATTATCAAAGGGTGCAGCACTTGCATGAAGATGTGGATTGGCGTCCAAGGTGCGTTATGTCTACATGGATTTTAATAAAAACAAGAGACAATCCTGAATTCCCGAAAACAATTCTGTGGACAGATGAGTCTCAATTCACGAGAGACGGCATCGTGAACTGTCGTAATTTAGATAAGTGGTGCCCAAAAGATGAAAACCCTAGGCTGAAAAGGGCTTCAACATTTCAAGTGAAATTTTCTGTAAATGTGCGGGCCGCACTGATTGACAACTTTTTGATTGGTCCAATAATACTCCCGAGGACATTAAACGGAGAGAGATTTCTGGAGCTTTTGCGGACTGAACTGCCCTTGCTATTGGAAGAAGTGCCGCTGCAAACCCGTCGAAGAATGATGCTTCAAATGGATGGATGTCCTGCCCATTACTCGCTGATTGTCAGGTCTTTTCTTAATGAAAATTATCCAGGCCGTTGGATCGGTCGACAATGACCTGTTGGGTGGCCGGCGCGTTTCCCAGATCTCACACCTCTCGACTATTTTTGATGGGGGACAATGAAGCAAAGAGTGTACAGCAGTTCCATAAACAGCGAAACGGAACTTGCGTGTTGCAAACGAAATCAAAAATGATCCCGAGATGATTCGTAGGGCAACTCATCAAATTTCACTTCGCGCTACAATGTGTTTGCAGCAACGGGGTGGCCATTTTGAACATTTGATGCATTAAGCCAAAATGATTATCCTATAGACAAGTCTATTTGATTTTATTTGTTAAAGATAATGAATGATTCATGTAGGTTAATACTGTTGTTTTATTCCTACTCTGGCGTTGAACTGAGTTTACTGCTTTTTGAAACGCTGATTTAAAAACTTGTATCTAAGTAATAAACTTGCAATTTTTCTCCATTAGGAAGCTAATAACATGCAGAATAACTTAACATTTAAAAAAGGTAGGGTAAATAGGACAATTTTTATTGAAATTTAGCAATTGTTTCAGCATATTCCTCCTTATTTTAAATTTATAGCATTTAATTTCGTGGACATTTTCACTTTACTGGTACGGCCTATTATTTGCAATCACTACAAAATTTATTCCAATATGATAGGACATTCAGTTTAAAAGTTGTAACGATTTATTTAAATAGGGTTAGCAGCTGACTCTAAAAATTTTAAAACATTCATAAAAAATCAATTATTGTTTTTAATTTTTTTTTGATGATTTATCCGTCGATGAAATAGAGTGTAGTTTCCCTGATTTTGATATGTGCACTTTATGAAGACTCACACTGTATAACCACCTTCGCTTTAAGGTAAATGATAAAAATCTAAAAATCAATAGAGTTAATAATAAAAAATATTTAGGAATTTACCTAGATCCCCACTTGAGTTGGAATGCACATATTTCTTACATACTAAAAATTAGATTCATAGCATATAAAATAAAATTTCTAACCGGTATATTAACTGAATATTATCTACGAATAATACAGGGTTTGTCCGGAAAGTAATAGGACTAACTCGATTTGAAAAAACTTATTGAGCCAATCGTTACAATTCTTTAAAAACTTTCAAAATAGGCTTCTTCTGCGTCGATGCAGCGCTGCTAGCGCGATTTCCAAGCATTGAAGACGTCACGGTAGGCATTCTCCGGAATAGCCTTGAGAGCCGCGGTGCATGCTGCTTGGATCCCCTCTGTCGTCTCAAAATGCTTGCCTTTCATCGGCCTTTTCAGGCGAGGAAACAAAAAAAAGTCCGGGGGGCACATCTGGGCTGTAGGGCGGCTGCGGAAGCGTTGGGATGCCGGCCTTGGTTAGGTAGCTGTTCACAAGAAAAGCGGTGTGAGCCGGGGCGTTGTCGTGGTGCAACTTCCAGTCGGCTGCGATGTCTTATCGGACCCGACTGACCCTTCGTTTGAGTCTTCTGAGCACTTCCACGTAAAACTTGGCGTTGACGGTTTGTCCAGGAGGAACAAATTCATGGTGGACGATACCTTTGATGTCAAAAAAGACAATAGCATCGTTTTCACTTTGGATTTGCTCATTCTTCCCTTTTTTGGGCGAGGAGACGCCGTCGTGT